TCAACTTACCACCTTCTGCCATGTTTGGACTAATAACCACCACCTCTGTTCCAGCTATTACACCATGCTGCATTTCACTGACACTGTTTGTTTGTTCCCTTACCGGCGTAACATCCCAAACCGGAACTGCATCCCCAGTTACTGCAAATACTCTGTTAGGGGTGGTATTATTTGTTAGGTCTGTAACATGTTCGTTCCCACTCACCCCATATTTCACACCTTCTACATTCACGTCTACACCCTAGAATGCTTGTGTCACGTTATGGATTTCGCACTCAGCAAGCTGATCCTCCAAAACATTGACAGCCCTTTGCAATTTAGCATTTTCAGTGGTGAGTTTCTTCACCTCATCGTCCTTATCTTGCATGAAACTACCAAAACCTCCAACAAGATGCAACGTTTGCACCTCATTCGCCTGCCTCAATCTGTCCACTTCTGCACGTAACTCTGAAATCACAATGTCTTTCTCATTGATTTTCAGTTCAAACTCTGCAATTTTCTCCGTAGCGTGGCAAACATGTGGCCCAACATCCATTATGTGCTTCCCTGCGTTTCGTGAAACATTCCAACATTCCTGTTTGGTGTCCGAAAATGGACCGAAGTTGAACCCCGTTCCACATTTCTACCACAAATTCCTCCTTCCCCACCAGTCACATTACCATCCACTCCCATATCAACAAAATCATCCTTATGCACACTACCACCGAATTCCTCAATTGCATTTCCCGCACCCCTAGTGCAGTTTACCCCCATTCACCTCAAAAAACTTAACCTCATATTCTTTCGTAATCAATCGCCCAGCTGTCACCTGTAAACACAACATAACAACTGCATGAACAATTTTCACACGATGTCCTGTATAGTACAATCATAACTAACATTTACTATTACCTCAAAATCCACATGCCCTGATAGATTGACCCCACGTACAGCTGTTACTAATGTGGCAACATCCCACTTCAGAAACCTGGGAAATGCAACTGGAGATATGGGCGATATGATCGTTGAATGTTCACAGAGCCAATACTGTACCCTACATCACACACAATAAATAATAACCTCCAAATTAGCTACATGACTACACCAAATACAACATAAATAACTCACTTCCAATTAATGGCACACCCAACAAATAAATTACAAGCAAACGTACCATCAATGCGACGACACATCCAGTGACTTTTTCAGGTGTTCGATAGAAGTCCCTCACTAAACTCATCAACGAGCTACGGATTGCCCCCGTCCAATCGTACGTTTTCATTGCATCCAAATTATCCACATATCGAATTAGAGCCCAGCTGATTGTTTCCCCAGAATTTGAGAAGAATAATTTACCACAAGCATATAAGCATAGCAACTTCACAGTGTCTTCCACATCATGAGTAGTACTGCCCTCCACAGCTTCGACTAGTAGGGTCTGTATCAGTTTCGAGGTTATGCGACTAGTGTTAAGACACCTACGTTGTACGAATTCGGACGGTGGCTTAGGTCGGGGGGTCAAATCAATGCTACCAAACCCACATTGGATCCGAAATATTAACTTGATGTCATCATCGCTTACACACACGCTTCGTCCTCCAACGCGAAACGTCCCGTCCCGTGCATTGTACGCCCGGGTGATATTTACCACCAAGTCGTCCCCTTTGCAATACTCCGCGTGGTCAAGTTGATTTATCAAAATTACTTCAAACATCAACCAGAACGGTGTTTTTTTAAGGTAAACAAGGTGTTCGTCTCGTAGATTCAGCATGTACACCAACTTTACAATGCCTGCAATGTTCAACCGGAAGTTGAGCCTCGTACGGTTAAGCTTCGGTGTGACACTTAGACGATTAACAATTTTTGTCTGTTTGAACAAGATCAGCCCTTGCCTACATATCCCAAGCTCGTTTGCCATTGTTTTGCTGGCTGCATCTTGGCGTTTACGCTCACATAAACGCGTCCATGGACTGTTTGTTCTCCTAACCCCTGCATTTCGAACATCAAATCAAATATCAGTTTCATAAGCGTAACATTCCAAACACAATCTCTTCGAAACTACATTACAATATTATAACATGTCAATACCACACACACACGGTTTACAACAATAAGACTCTTCACAGTAGCACATACTTATTAAAACACAACATTGGAGTAACCACGTCCCACCAGCAACAAGAACAACATTACGATATAGTCACATAACATTTAATATTAAAGTTTGACTTCTTAATGTACGCAAAGTTCATATCACACAGTTATAACGGAATGGACATACCAACATCCACCTAACGTAACACATCGTAATTTAAAGATGCCCACATGCAAACCATGGCGGAACCCCACAAAAATTTTCCTTTCAACTCACTACGAATTTAAATGTGTGACAACACTCGCGTACCCTTCCACCCAACGTCACATTAACAGCCACACAACGATGTAGATTGACGCCCCCCACACATCTCACAGACAAGTTAACATTTTAATGTCGACCACATCAAACAACATGGATACCCCACAAACACACACACTACATTATTAACACACCCCACCACACTCTGCGTTTTAATAGGAAATTCAGTTGGTCTTTATGATAGCGACACCACACACCAACCCACCAAAATAACTACGCACTACAACCTACTGATTCGCCCACCATAAAAAGCACTTACACATGTCATACGCAACCAATATCAACAACCACAATGGTGGAATCCAGTCATCGTCGATGAGTGTGAATACGTTTCGTAAACAATAATCGAATCATAAATTCTGTAAACAAAATCAGGTAATTAAGTTTACCAGTCATCGTTGACGAGTGTGAATAAGATATTCCTCCGACGTAATCTTCCCGTGAAGTCGTCACGTCTTCATGTCGCACCACTCTTTAGGGTTTATCCAAAAACCAAAACTGCAGAAACACCAAAGGGAATCCAGACGCAACGTTTTGAATCACCAAATCTTTGTAAAGCCACACCAAATCTCTAACGTGGGGAACGATTGACTGAATTTGAATTTTGAACCACCGATTCTCACCCCTTAATTTTAGGGCAACATTAATTTACATACCAATTAGGTGTTGTTTCCAATTTGGGGATTTCAAACGTTAACGGGTCGGGGCGCCGTGGGTCTTGTTCCCATATTTCAAATTCTATCAACATGACACCACACCACATTCATCCGTTACATTAGTCAAACCCCCATACGGTTTACACTCAATGGCATTATAGTCATTCAATGTACATGAGGACCAAGTGGTGCATAAGAAAACATTTGGGACCATCCAGACCATAAGTTCAAAAAAGGGGATTTACCAGTCAATTCCCCAAAATAAAATTACCCAAATTATTTTTGGAATAAATTAATGATATCATTCAAAATTATTAATTTATTTTATGATTATTAATAAAAAATGCTATTTGTTATGAAATTTGCAACTTCAGGGGACGTGATATAATTTCCATAACCATAGGGACATATTTTAAGTAAACTTCAAAAGGTTTATTTGTACATCACCCTAAAAGTTTGAAGGATAAATTATAAATAAAGCATTTGCTATTTTCTTAAAATACGAATTTTCCCTGTGATTTTTAAAATTACATTTTGTCCCTTCAAGTTTCTAATTGCATAACAAATAACTCATTTTATTAATAAATTATTAAGTCAATCACTAGTTTTAATGATGTCAAAAATATATTTAAATTAACAATTTGTGTAATTTTATTGTTTTATAAGAGAATAGTTAGAAATTTCATTTTTCTGTATATTCTGTTAAATAAAAAATTACTAGAAGAAAGTATTTGTAATTTTCAAAACTATAAGGCATAATTTAGATTTTTCAGTAAATTTCAAGAAGTATATTTATAAGCATAATCTAGATTTTCAGTAAATTTCAAGTGTTAAATGAGTTTTATTTATTAAAAAAAAAAGTTTAAATGAGTTTTGAGTAAACTAAAGTGGTTGGTTGGTCAAATATTTAAAAAAAAAGGGGGGATAAATTACAAGCACATCCTTATAGTTTGTTTAAAATATAAATTATCTATTGTAATTTTAGAAAATATATCTCGCTTTTTGAAAATTTTAATTTTATTACAAATAGTCTATTTTATTAATTAATCATCAAATTAATTAACAGTTTTTAACGATGATAGAATTTTTTTTCAATTAATAATTCAAGTAATTTTATTATTATATAAAAGAATAGTTAGAAATTTCATTTTTTAATTAATTATGTTAAATAAAAATTTTTGATAAGAAAATATTTTTAATTTTTTAAATCAAAAAATAATTCGTATTTTAAACAAAATTTAAAGTGTATTTGTAATTTGTCTTTAAAAAAAAGATTAAATTACAAATACACCCCTCTGAGATTTGCTTAAAGTACAGATTATCTCTGCAGTTTGAAAAATTACAAATAACCTCTTGGTATAATTTTTTATTTCACAGAATTAATTAAAAAAAATAAAATTCATAATTACTCCCTTATATAATAATAAAATTATCTAAATTTTTAATTGAAACAAATTTTTAATATCATTAAAAATTGTTAATTGTCTTAATAACTTATTAATAAAAGGAACGATTTATTATGAAATTAAAAATCTTAAAAAATAGAATGTAATTTTTAAATTTGTATTTTAAGCCTCGTTTGGGAACAAGTTTTTTTAGTAATTTTTGATTTTTTGCTAAAATATGATATAAAAAAAATTAATATGTTTAGAATGACTTTTTGAATTTTTATAAAAAAATGTGTAAAAAACAGAGAGAAGAAATTTTTTTTACTTTTTAATATAAATTGTTGATTATTTAATTTTTTTAATTTTTTTAACTAAAAAAAGTCACTTGCCGAGGCGTTTATCAAAATTTAAGCGGTGTATTTATAATGTACCTTGAAATAAAATAAAATTAAAATAAGAAGAAGATAGTTGTGTGGTTGGTATCTACGAAAAGTGTGCGGACGGGGAATCTGTGAAAAAATAGACAATAAATAAATAAAAGAAAAGAAACGAAAAGAAACTGTGGATATGGGTCGCTCGCCATCGACAACTCCATTGGGACGGAGCTCAAATATGGCCTCCTCAGCTTCACTTCCCATAATCAGTGGTGGTCTCAGCATCTCTACATCGCTCTCCTCCTCCTCCTCCTCCTCCTCTATCAATCACTCTTCAACAGTCTTCAAGTAAGTTCAATCCCAATCCCTGAATACCCATTTCTTCTATTTATTATCCTTTTTGAGGATTTGTGTGTTCTCTTCACTTTGTGGATGGTTGTCCAGAAAAGAAAAGAAAATGAATTATGGGTCTTTTTTTTTTTCTCCTTTTTTTTCCTTCTTAATTTTGCACAAACTGTATTGTGTTTTTCTTTGATATTATGTTTTGCTGTGCTTGGTATTGGGGAAAGTGAACTGGTTGCAGCACAATATAATTGTTGGTTTCTTCTCTCTTGATACAATTGAATTTGTAGTTAATTTCTGTCTTTTCCAAGAATCACGTTTCCCAGAAAATAGGATAATGATTGTGTTTTTCAACTAATATAATGGTTAATATTTTTGGATCATGGATTTGAGTACGGATTTGGAAAGGGATAGGAAAAAGGTAGGTGAAATGTATCCATATTTTATTCATATTTCACTCGCCTTTTTCTTTTCCATTTCCAAATCCCTACCCAAACACAGCTGTTTTACGTCAATGATTCAAAATTTTCTAAAATTACTGGAGGAACATGTTTCTTTTAAAATTTTGCTTGAATGACATGAGTGCATCTTTATTTACCTTGGATGATTCTTTCAGTTCATTGGACTTTTCAAGTTCATACCTATGCAATTTGAAAACTATATTCAGAGACAACCAGTTGTACATAAACTGGAGTGCTAAACAACATTATTGAATTCTCATTTGGGATCTTTACTTATCCTATAAAAATTAAGGGGAAAGAAGAAAAACAAATGCCCAACACACACATGAGAGAGAGAGAGAGAGAACTTCTTGTTTCCCAATAAGGGTATCAGCTTTGGTTTGTGATTTGATTTCCGTAGGTATCAAAAGACTTAATATCAAGAGAGAGCCATAATAAGGCTTGAAACAATAATGATTGGTTTAAATCCCTTTTTCTTGACTGTTCTGTGTGGAGAAAATTTTTGATTGAAGCAGACTATCTATTTCAGTAGTTTCCTTTCCATGTCATTTTGGGCTTTGTTAGTCTTAGTCACCTAATTAACTTAACTCTCCACTTATATATCCCTGGCCCACATCATATTGGGTCCTATAAATGTACGAGCACCCATGTCAAACACGTAACACTTGGATAAAAGTATGAGAATTGTGTCTGACGAACTTAATTGGTTGTGCCCTCAACGTCAACATGTTTCTTTTAATAATTCAATGTCCATATATAAATGTGGACCTAACTCCTTTATGTTACTTTTTGTCATGTTTGCTTAAAAAATGACTATGTTCTATAAATGTGCCATTTAGACCTCAAAAATAGAAGAAGAATGTTAAGAAATTCAAACATTCGACGATGTCATGGTATCCTTCAACTTGGGCATTAGATGAATGTATTGCCTAGACATGCCTACACTGAACAACTATGTTACATGGTCTCTTCTAAATTTGTAAGGTACATGTCTAACATTCGACTCTTGAATGTGGGTATGAGATATGTGTTTGTATGTTTAATTAGCCATGCACCCATTGAGTATGACTAGTCAGTCAAGTTTACCATATAAGCATGGATAAGACTCCCATTTTATACATAACAAGCTCTATGGTAGTTTGTAACATGATTTTACCCTAAAAAATTAAACAAAGTATGTAATAAATATGAAATCTAGCCATATTCTAGTGACCTTTGAAAATTAGATGAATTTGACATTTAGACACATACCCATGCTTGATGTCGTTACCTGAGTCCATTAAACATTGTCAAACACCTATGTTGCATGTAATCTTCTAAATTTACGAAGTACCTATGTTAGATATTTGACAGTTGAGTAACAATATGGAATGTGTCTGACATGTGTAGTTGGACATTCACCAAGCAAGGATATTTGACAATTCGAGTTTACCATAAAACTATACATAAATCTACATATTATGCATGGAATGCTCTATGAAAATTTGTGAACACCATTTTACTATACAAAATAAAATAAGAATAGTAAGAAATATAAATATATTTTTTGTGCCTGTGTCCTAGACGTGGGAATTAAATGAATCGGACACTTAGAAGCCTACCAACACCTAACACCCATATCTAAGACCATGTAACATATCCAGACACACATATCCATCATATTGTACCATGAAATGTTTTCCAAATTAATGAATCATGAGATTCACTTCATTTTTACAATATATAATCATATAAATTTATATCTATAAAATACCCAATATAGCATTTAAAATGAAAAAATAACATAAAAAAAATATTGAAAAATCTCAAATGCCTGTTGATGTCACTGCAATGATATATATGTACGGCTTCTATCGTTGGCCGTTGTTGGTGAGAGGAACCATCAATAAGGACTAAGGAGGTAACCTATGAAGCATGGACACGGAAAAATCGGCGCTGTGGCAGTGTCGGACACGAGGACACACCGGGGACATGCGTGTCCAGATCTGGACACGGCATGAGACATGGTGAGGAGAGAGAGTGTGAAGGAAGAGAGTGAAAAGACAAACCTTCGACTCCAGTCATCGTCATCGAACATCCAGTTGACTCGAACCATCAATCTCGTCTCGCTCGCATCGAACCATCAAACCATATCTCGCTCACGTTGTCTTCTCTCTCTCTCTCTCTCTCTCTCTCTCACTCGCATTGTCTTCTCTCTCTCGCGTCTCTGTCTCTGTCTCTGTCTCTGTCTCTCTCTCTCGCCGTCTCTGTCCCTGCTTTCTTTCTTATCTCTTATATATATGTATAAGTATATATAACATAATATATACTACTTATACATATTAATAAAAAAAACACATGTATATAAAATAAAATAAAATAAAAATTACCAAAAACACATTATTTACAAAAGGAAATAAATAAATAAAATAATTAACATGTATTAAAATAAAAATATTTATAAAAAAAAAAATTTGCCATGTCCGTGTCCTATTTTTTGAAAATTGCCATGTCCCGTGTCCGTGTCCGTGCTTCATAGGAGGTAACTTGGTATTGAAAAGAACTGAAAATATTGGACTTTGTTCTTTGGAAGAAGTTTTGAATTAATTGTACATGCTGCTTCCCCTCTTACCATAAGAAGAAATTATGGATTGTTCAGAAGTGACCAAATGGATGAACAACCTGGAATGAAATATTTTTGCTCAATCTTCAAGGTAAGTATCTTACCAGAAACCTTAACTTTTGAGATGTGTATGTCCTTTTATGCTTTTGTGTGGGGCAGATGTACCCACCTTTTGGACTGAATTAACCCTGCAGGATTCTCAAGCAATGTTATTGGATAATTTCCTGGACGTATATCTTATTCACCCAAAAAAAAAAAAAAATTCCTGGACGCTTAGTTATAGTTTTAAGGTTTATTATGAAGTTGCTTGTAAATTTAACATGTGAATGGGTTTATAGTTGTGAGCCTTGGTTGGCTTGTAGCAGTATTAGTCAGGAGTCAGGACAATTGAGATATCTTTCATTACTTTACTAAGCAAATAACTCATCGCAAAAAATAAATAAATAAATAGAATAAAATCTCTGTTAAGCAAATAGAATCAGCAAACATCAAATTTTACATACGCTGATCATATTTTTGTACTGTAAGGATTGATGATTAATACAGGGTGGTTCAAGAGGATCACACTCACCCTAAATTTATAGTGAGAAATCATTTGAAAAGATAAGATAAAAGAATAATGGTTTCTTGACTACAATATTGGTGTTGGTCTCATATAATCATCAGGGATAATGATGATGAAGTGGTTTCCCAAAATGACATAAATTATGTACTTCTCTTTCTATAAAAGGTCTTTTACAATATACATTTTATATGGTCAGCTTTCTTTCTGTTCGATAACTTTTTCTTTTGCTTTAAATGTTCTTCCTTTTTAGGTGGGGATTGAGAAGGGATCAAGAGACAAAATTGTTTACTCATAGAACAAAGGGTCAAGCAGTTCGTGTCTTGGCAAATCCTAATGTATGCATTACCCAAGGCTTCCACATGTATAATGCCGATATATTGGTTTGAATATGCTCAAAGGTTTTTTTAGGTATTGATTAGTTATTGAAGTAATATATTGTCGTAAGAATTTCATTGCTTAGAAATATTTTAACTGATTTTGTTAAAATTTTTTAGTTAACCATACATCCTTACTACCTTTTTGTCATTAGTTTGTTGTATCCTAAAGCTGAAATCCAGCCGTCGTTAGATTAGCAAGAAAAAGTTGCTATGATGTCTAATAATCTACTATTCATGGTTATGGTGGCCAAGTGCTCATATTGTGGTATTATTTTCCACTGTCCTTCCTCCAAAACACATAACATTGAACCCAACGTAGATTCAATTGTTAAGTTGTATAGGGCAATGACATTTCTTTTTGTAGTTTTAGCATTTTTTTTTTTTTACTTTGAGTAAATAGAAGCCAAGCACACTTTTTCTGAATTTGTCTTCCTGAAGTGAACAAGGTTCTGTTACCAAAAGATGTGATGAGGGTTGTTTTTACCCTTGTGCTTCTTCCTCAAGTGATTGTCTTTTTTGTTTCTCTTTAAACTACCAAGTAACAAGGTTATCTACAAACAATCATGTCATCTAAGAGTAATTATTCACAAAAATAACAAAATAAAGAAACGCATTAATGGGTAGAAGTACGAAAAGGATTCCATAATTGACACACGAGTCAAAATACCTTGACTCACGAGTCACGATTGACACTATGATTGGGAAAGAACTGCAGTGATGCTTTCCAAACCAATAAGCTTCATACTCGAGTTTAGACACATGACTCAAACTAGGAACTGCTACCTTAAGTTTAGTCAAAGAGGGATAACCCAAACAAAAATGCCATTGCAGAGGAGACATAGTAAGGAAATATGAAGAGGAGGGCAATCAATATCCAAATAATATAAGTTGTCCTGCTCATACACTGAACCAATCATCTTATTGGTCTTGAGGTCCTACAAGACACAAGTAGGACAAAAGAATATGGAACTATGCAAAACTTTAGTCAATTGATTGATCAAAAGCAAATTAAAAGAAAAATTAGGGTCATAGAAATGAGAAGGTAATGATAGGAACTTAGTGGGATGAATACTGCCCTTCCCACTAACAGACCTTGATTACTCGTCAATAAGAACATTATAATGGGTAACAAGACGTAAAGCAGTGAAAAGAGATGAATTATCTTACATATGAGAACTAGAACCGGTCATATATTTACATGCAATATTACCTGAATTGGCTAAGATTGCCATGGAAGATGAAGGTAGAGAAGAACGAAGGGAATGGACAAGCTTAGTAAGCTTGCTAATATGAGTAGTGACAGTGAGTGTGTTGTGAGAACCAGAAGTAGGAGTGACATGGCTATATGAGGTGGAAGTCAGCTGAGATGGTGGACCATCATTTGAAACCTGATGCACATAGTTGGGTTGGGCATAATCATACATCTGCCAACACCAAGTTTCGGTGTAATATGTGGTGGGAGATGAAATCCTTTGGTATAGTGGTCCTTTTTTCTCAGTTGATTTTTACTAGCTACCTGGGTTTTGGATAGTTTGGTACTACACCTTTATAAAATTTAACCTGCCTCAGGTTACTCCACCATCCAATTCAGGTCTGTGAGCTCATTATAGGTTGTTTGGGCTCGTGGCCCATTACAGGTTTCATTTTAATGATTCAAATCATTTGTATATATTATTCATAAAAAAAAGTTAGGCTAATCTAGTAAGTCTTCAAAAACGAGACAATAATTGTGTACTTATTTTTTTAAAACAAACGCAGTAAAATGAAAAAATTACGTTTATTGGATCGACCTAATTTTTTTTTCATGAATGGTGTTTATAGAAGACCCTACAAAATGAGTGCTTCGGATCATCGACATGTTAGTAAAGTTCATTTTTGAATTTGAGAGAAATTCAATCATTAATGATTCAATTTATAGATTGTTAGTTCTTTTAGGAGTAGATCATTCATAAAAAAATGATTAAATTGATCAAACAATTGTAATCACGTGATTTTATTGCATTTGTCAAGTATGGTTTAAAAATAGACCAACTAATTTTTGAAGGCAAATATAATAAAATTATCTACATAGTTCGGTTAGGCATAGCATACACTGCTAACCTATGAAACACGGGTACTCCAAAAATAGTGCCGTACGAGTACCGGATACTTACCGGGTGCGGGTACGCATACCGTGTACGGCGGTACACGTACCGGGTACGGCAAAAGGGGGTCCGGTACGTTTGGTTCATTCAGGTACGCCATGGGTACGCCGTGGGTACGCGTACCGGGTACGGAAAAAGGGGTCCGGTACGTTTGGTGCATTCGGGTACGGCGTGGGTACGCCGAGTCCCTTTTTTTTTTCTTTTTGTCCTTTTTGTGCCCTTGCAAATCAGCAATTTTTTTTTTTTTTTTTTATACTGTATTAGTTGATTAGTAGTTGTTGGGAATGATGCAATTTTATGTATTATGCAAATTGCAATTGACAACCTGCACCAATTGAGAATTTTTTTCCTTTATTGTTGGTAATTAACTTTAAATCTTTCTTTGGTCTCCTGTTATTTCTTTGGTCTCACCCTATAAAAATAGCAAATTGATGAGCAAAAAGAAAGATTTTAAAAATAAATTATGATCACAAATTCACAGTTCGTAACATGTCAAAGTGAGAGATTTCACAAATATTATTTTTAACGCTTAATGATTTTAAATTATAGGAAAATGAGTAGTTCTCTTTTTAGTTTTGATATTTAATTTTAATTTGTAGGTTGAATCCTTTAACCATAATTATATATAAAAATATCTATATATCGGCGTACCGCAACCGTACCCGTATCATACTTTTTTTGAATTTTGCCGTATCGGCGTACCCGCACCCGTACCCGTACCGTACTCGTATCCGCACCCGTGCTTCCTTGCTGCTAGCACTAAGGTCGGTATGACTAATGGAACCACGATGATCACACTTCCTATTGCCACAGAAAGTCGAACCACCTCGAGAACTACCTCTACGAGAGCTACCCCTATGAAAATCACTATAAGAACAACAGAGCCAAGACCTTAGAAACGTTACCCTATGCCAAAGCCAAGTTATAACAACAAAATCCTCACTTGATCAATCATCAAAGACTTTCCACGCAAAAAACCTTTACGACATCTGCCCAATCTAGATAATTCAAACTATTTAGTTTCTTTGTAGTAATTGATTTTGGCAAATCATTATCCTTAACCAATGAGGGTTTTACCTCAAGAAATTATGTTAGAGAATATTGAGAACCAAAGCAAGAACGTCAAAATTAAGAGAAGATGACCAAATAATGAGACAAAGCACTAAACAAAGACTATCTAAGCATATATTAGTAACAAGGAAGTCAATAAAGACTATTCTATTGGGGGCTGAACACTTTGTGGCTCAAAAAAAATCATGAACTTAACAAATCAACAAAAAAGCTCAAATAAGGTCCCCTCTAGGTCAATCGACACCCACAAATTATATTCCATTGAAGAAAAACATCAAGTGGTGGTGGCCCCAATCACAAATCAAAAAACAAGCTCCAAAAAAATCTAAAATCATTCAAAAATTGAAAAATCACATCAAATATGTTCAAAACTCCACTAATGTGTGGTAGTGTAGGATTGAATCACTCTAATACCAAGTTAAAGTATAACGTGTCACATGTGTGAAATTAGGGTTTGGTTTAGATCAATGTTATTAAAGTTGTGCCTAGGCCCAAGGCTCATCAAGGCACAATTAGTGCACTTCTGAACATCTCAGGCTAGGCAATGTAAAACATGCCCCTGAAGGAGCATGAAGCATGCGCTTCGTTTAAAATGTTTGTTTATTACAATTACTACCCTTGATTTCACTTAATCTCATTGTTTTTTTGCTTACGTGTTGCTACAAGGAATTAATCCCTTGAACATACATTTCAACCTAACACTTTTTGAGTCCTGATTATACACAGATGTTAGTTGGATAGAGCTTTCTCTTCGACTAGCCTAATAGATTGTTCTTCTTTATCTCTTCAATTCAATCTCTTTCTCCTCATTCTCTGTGCTTATCTTCTAAGACACTTCGATTTTGTTGCTATTTTCAAATGTTTATGATTTGTAAGTTAAATGATTCTGTTTATGTGCAACCTTAAATTATTTGTCTATGATAAAATATTAGTATTCGTTGGTATTTAATATTACATTTTACTTATGTTGAACCTCGAATTATTTTATATATTAAATTATCTATTTTTTATAGTGAACATGAACTTCGATTAGATGAAGTCCACACCCTGCCTTGAGCCTAGGCCCTAGGAAACCTTGGCGCTTTAGTGCTCCTATTGCCTTTAATAACATTGGTTTAGATGAGAAATAGAGAAGAAATAAGAGAAGAGAAGACAAAAGAATAGGACAAGTAGGTTTTGAGTGTGTAACAAACCCTCCACCTAGCACCCATTTATATTAGAACACTAATACAACAATATGATAATAGTATCTTCAATATAAAATAACATAAAAACACTCAACTATTTTAACAATTTTTAATTTTGAAAATAAAATTATAAACCAAATGACGGTGCGGTTTGGGCGGTTTTAGAGTAAAATTATAAACCAAATGACAGTTCGGGCGGATTGATGGATTGGCAAATCACAATTTGGGCAAATCACGATTTGGGCAATTTTGGGCGGATTAACAAATTGAAGAATATGCTAATCAATTATCAAGCATTTACATGATATATAACTTTATATTTTTCATATATATAACACACTAATTTTACATAATATGTTTCATATATATAACTACTAATTTGTAATAAATTTTATATTTTAAATATCTCCTACACTCATTTTTGCTTTGATATTTCATTAGAGGTTAATATATATATATATATATACTAACTATAGCAGAGCAGTTTTGAAAGCAGATTATAAATTTTAAAATTTAATCTGCGGTCAATGGATAGAGTGGTGCAGATTGATGCAGATCGGTGCGATTTTGATAAGTTGGGCTATACCCCTAGAATCTAGAAGCAGAGTTAAGAACAAGTAACTCCATCACATTTACGTTAACTGGTTCAATTCTGGCAAATATCTCCAATTCTTGACAGACTGAAGAAGAAGACAAAGAAGAAGAAAGAGATGACTGAAACAGAGAAATAAGAGGAGGAAGAACTGAAGCAGGAGAAGAAGAAACCGAAAATGGGGATTGAATTGAAGAGAAAAACCAAACAACAAATAAAAAGAAAAACCAAAACAAAAGAAGAACAAGAAAAGAGGGAGAACTGAAACAAAGAAGAATCTGAATGAGAGAAAAAGAGACCTTAGTAGCAGGAAACTCCTATAGGGGCCTCACTCCTCACTACAGCCCCTGCCCATGCTCCCGCTTTGTGCAACTATGAGAGAGACCTGGAGCTGAAGAGTGAAGATTGATACTTAAAAATGGAGACTAAGTTGGGGATCCAAGTTGTCACAAGTCACTTCACCATTCTTTTTTTTTTTCCCAAATGTTTGCCCTAAATTGATTTTTTTTCCCCATATATGAAGGTTACCAAAATTGCCTCCAAGAGAAGGGGAATGAACAACCAAATGTTGTTCCATCAGACCTCCTCTTCATAATTGACTAAAAACAAATAATTGGTTATTTAAGTGGAATATGTTCTCTATTTTTCTACAACATGAAAATGTTTAAAGTGTCTAACCAAATGTTATAAAATAAAAAGTTAAATAATAACAATTTTTATGAGAAAGGGGGATGGGTATTAATTAATAATTACTAAAGTTGCCTTATTTCCTTCTTCGCTGGGCACTGGATAGTGGACCCATCTTTACCCATCATTGAAGCTTTTGCTTAACCATACAGCAAGCAGTCAGTAGTTCATGAACAGGTTGCAGTTTTCCATAAGCTGTTGTACATTTGGGTAGTGTTTGGTTCACTAGAATGAAGTGGAATGGAATGGAATGATCATTTTATCAAAATGTTCATTCCCATGTTTGTTAGACTAAAAAAAATAATGACAAATGCATTACAAATAGGATCTTTCACCATTTTTAGGGAATGGTTATTCCATAAGAAAGCCTAAGGAATCACCATTCCATTCCTTCTCATTCCAATGAACCAAATAGACATTGAATGCTTTGTCGCTTAATGGATTTGTAATTCATGGTGAGAATCGCCGTCTCTGCCTCTTTATCAAGTGTTTCATACACCATAAAAATCTATTTATTTGTTTGTTTTATATCATGTAGGTGACTCCCAGAAAGGCTGAAAAGAAAGAGGTGATAATGGTTGATCCATTGGAAGCCAAGAGGTTAGCTGCAAAACAAATGGCAGAAATTAAAGAAAAAGAGAGACTAAAAGTGAGAATATTTTCTTTTTTGTCAATAGTTCATGCTCTAATGCTTGTAGTTTAGGCAATAGGATAATGAAAGTAAAATGACTTGCTTGTGTAATATATTGGATAAGAAATTGTAGGTGTCAAAACTTTTAGGTTTAAATGCTCTCATTGTGCAGGATGTTGATGTTTCCTTCAGAAAGCATATGACCTCTTTGATGAGCTTGGTCCGATTTTGTCAAGTGATTGAATGAGCTAACAACACCAAGTCTTTGGCTTGGTCATTCTTTTAATGAATACAATGCTATTCAATCAAGCACAACAGTAGGAGATAAGAAAAGTATTAGGGAAGATGACATGAACCTTGAGGTTAGTGGAGCACATTAGTGCACCTGATAATAAAGTAAATAGCTAACCAAGGGATTGGTGTTCATGTTGGATATGATAATTTCAACCATTGAATGGCGGCATTTCCTTTTCTTGTCTTTATGTTACGAGAAATTCATTTTATATGTTTACAAAATTGTAGGATTTGAAATATGTTTATATGTATCAATTAGAAAGGAAGATCATCAACGAGCTTAGACAAATGCCAAAATGAAACATAACTCTCAGGACTGTGTATTTATAGTCCTAACCAAAAGATTTAGGGCAAAGGGCCTTGCCAAGGGATTGGTGTTCGTGTTGGATATAATAATTTCAACCATTGAATGGCGGCATTTCCTTTTCTTGTCTTTATGTTACGAGAGATTCATTTTATATGTTTACAAAATTGTAGGATTTGAAATATGTTTATATGTATCAATTAGAAAGGAAGATCATCAACGAGCTTAGACAAATGCCAAAATGAAACATAACTCTCAGGACTGTGTATTTATAGTCCTAACCAAAAGATTTAGGGCAAAGGGCCTTGTCGGCTGCTGCTTCTTGGCGACGGTGATTGCCGGCAAGGTCGGTTTTGGAAAACTTGCTGGTCACAAATTAGTTTCTTCTGCCCCTGTCGCGATCTAAAATCAAAGACCGTAGTAGAGTGATTCCTTCCCTCTAGATAGATAGCTAGGTTCTCTGCTTTCCTCTAGATAGGTAGCTAGGTTCTCTAGCCTAAATGCCCAGTTCCAGATATTCAACCGCACTTGAAGAATCTCTCGCAAGTCCAAATTCTTTAGAAATATTTGGATCACATTTTCAATATCAAATTCGTAACAAACCAAGTTTTTTTTTTTTCTTTTTAGATAGTTGAGTGCTTCTGCATTCAGGAAGCCACGATGCACCACAATGTCTTGCACTCAAGTTCTCATATATTCTTGAAATTCATGCACTCAGCGTGAGGATTGGGGAGCTCATGATGGGGTATTACCATCACCGCACTTTTATCTTTGTTTCTGAGATTAAGATTAGATTAGATTATTGTTCTTTGATTTTCTTTCTTTATTTATTTATTTTTGGCGAGTGATATTCCTTTTTTTAGTTCAGGATATTCATGTTCCTTGATGGAATAACGTTGTTATTGCAGAGACGACGCGAGATTGAAGCAATTAATGGAGCGTGGGCTATGATTGGTCTGACGGCAGGCTTAGTCATTGAAGGCCACACTGGAAACAGTATTCTATCTCAGGTATGGCCATTTTGTGCATGTGCATTTGATTGTGTGCACATTCATATTCGTGTGTGGTGATTTCCGATTCTTTATTTGTTAATTTACTTGTTATTTTTTTTCCCTTTCTTTCTCCTTAACAGTTGGCTGGATACTGGGCAGCCATAGTCCATTTTTTCGTGAGATAGATATCTTTCGTGCATTAACAAGATGGGAAGAAACCACACATATGAATCATTCTTTAAAATGGATGGAGGATGATCTTTAATTTACTTTACTCTTCTCTTTGTCTTTTCTTTTTTTTTTTTTTTCTTTTTTTTTTTTCTACAACATGAAAATGTTTTTTTTTTTTTTTTTTTTTTTTTTTTTTTTTTTTTTTTTTTTTCAGTTCACAATTTGTTGTATCATAAGAATGGAATTATTTGTCAACTTTGTATGGTGAATTTTTTTAATTCATCGGGAGGGTTCATAACATGTGAACGTAAAACAGAGAGGTTGTTACAACTACCTCTTTTATGGCATTATTCATGGAAAATGATCCAATAATTTAACTTTGGACAAACTTCATTTACTCCAATGATTCACTCTCTGTGTGGATTGCTCTTTTGTCATTTGGAAATAAGCACGAGAGATTCTATTTACACCATTACACTTCTTCTCTGCATTCCAACACTTGTACTCTATGAAGAAAAGCTTATACATATGGGATGCAAAGAGATATTAATGTTAACTAGAAGCTCCCAATAAGCACATGATTTCATGTATGTGATTTGTGAATTAAAGTACACCATCAAATATTCTATTGAAGTTAAACGCTTTAGTCTTTTTGTTTAAATTGATAATTTAATTCACAAATCACTTAAGAAGTTATGTATTTATTTTTAAATGTATGAAGTAAATCACAAGCGTGTAAAGTGCAATCCCTCCCCCAAAAAACAGAATAGCCCTAACCTTTTAGTAGAATAGACGTCTGCTAAACCTGGAAAGCCTACACTACCATTCTTCCATGGAAAACTAGGATAGATCCATAGCAATAACTGAATTTTATGGCTGAGACGCATAGTAGGATTTGTAGCTGAATAAAGCTATACGCATCAATTGGTACATCAGTTAGTGTACTAACAGACGATATAGTATGATTTTAAAGACTTTGGATTTTTGTAATTTATATAATGGATGGGATTCATAGTTTTGAATTGATAATATCATAATATATATTAGTACATTAATTGATATATCAATTGGTACATATAACACTATGTTTGTAGGTTGGTCCCTACAGATATGGCCTTAGGGTTGGAGAGCCCAGGCTTTTAATTTCTGTTAGATTTTGCCAGGCCTGAGAACATCAACCTATTTATTATATTTCTCATTCTATAATTTTTCCACACCATATAAATTTATATATACATTATTATTATTTTCATTCTTAGATTAGATAATGAGTACCTTCCTCATCCATGTCCCTCCACTAAGTGGGAATTATTATTATTATTGTTTTTTATCTCTAGAGTTTGGAGCTATTGAAATGGGATTGTTAAAATTGTATGCAAGGTCGACCGGGTTGCAACAAGGTCCATGAAGCAAGTGATTTGGACCCGCCCATTTCATTCCCAAGCCCCAACATCACAAGGGCTTGTTTGGTACAGTTTGTAGAGTTGTTTATAGCTTTTTATTTTAAAAATCGGTATTAGTCTATTTAGTGCATCTTCTGTTTATTACTTATCAGATAGAAATAACTTTAAAATAAATAAATAAAAATGAGAAAATTGATTACTAAGAAGTAAGAGAATAGACATTTTTAACTCTACTTTCCGATAATCAATTTTCTGCTTGCAAGAAGTTATAACATACCAAACATAGATTTGGAACAGAATTATTTCCAGGAAATGCCTTGGTAGTTGGGGAATTTAATTTTTTAAATACTTTCCACGAAATTTATAACCTGCATTTTTTAAACATGGTGTTTAGAAATATTCTTTGAAGATTCCTTTTGTAGCCTCCTTGTAATTAAATTTCTTAATGACTATTCCTTTTCTTTTTTTTCTTTTTTTTCATTGGTTGTCTTTACCTAATACTAAAAATTAAGATAAGGTTTGATAAACTAGCTCCATATGTACATACACTTGTAGGCTTGTTGTTGGATTTAAGTGTTTTTTTTTATTTTTATGTTTTTTGGAAGACAAAGCACAAAGTCAAAAGGCTCTAGGGTTTGGTATAAAGATAGAGAGATACCTTCTAGAAAGAGAAAAGAAATGAAGTAGATAAATTTTGACACCTTACCAGATAAGGGGCTCCTGTGTGTTTGGTAGTGGGAAAGGAGGACAAAGAAAGGTATATCTTTCATTATAGTAATTTGAAATGGAGCAAGTCTTAAGTTATCTTCCATCTCATAGAAATAAAAAATTTGCAAATAGCCCCCCTCGCTCTCTCTATGTTGGATGATATGGGGAAGTGAATATGCCCAATTAAAGGTAACATAGCTTTGAGTAATCATCTTTTCTACGTATACTAAATCCAATCACATAATATGTCACAATCCTTTTAAATATGATGAAATTTAAATACTTGTGACTTGTTTAATTAGAACGATTATAGTATATGATTTGAATTATTAATTGATGCGAGTCATATTTCAATATTTAGTTATAATTTTCCTTAACCGGATTATATATTCAGTAGACATTCAATCTGATGAAATTGGTGAATTTTTAATAATGAGAAGAGTGTAAAATATTCCACTAATCCAGTTGAATAGCCAATTTTACAATAATTTCATGAAATTGTTAATCCTTTTACTATTAGTCATCTAATCAAATAGGACCTTATGAGACTCAATACATATTATAGCTGATTTTATGAATTTTTAGTGAATAATATAAAAATTAAAAGTTATAGAATTGCCAACCTTACAAAGATGTAAAGTAGAAAGTTAAATTTTGGACAAATGGCAAGGAAAGTGATGAAAAGGTTGATTAGAAAATATTGCCTAGTAGATTCTCAGCTCTTCTTGTGCTATGTTTGGAAGTTGAATTTATCAAGAAAAAGGAAAAGAAAAGGGAAATTAATGAAATTAATTTTGCTTCTTTCACCCCTTGTGGCAATGGATGTGCATATTGTTCTAGGATAATTTGGATTTTGGTCTACTCAATCTGGATCTTAAATCTACCAAACGAATCGATTTGAGGTTAAATTTTGTAATAATATAAGAAAGTTGGCTTTTATAGATAGATTGAGAAATTAAATGGGAAGTTACAGTGAGAAGACAAGTATTTTGGTATGGTTTTTGTACAATTCTAATTCTTATAGGAACGATTTGAGACAACTAATTTTACATTATTATTTTTAAATTTATAATAACTAAACTCTCGAATTCAATTCAAAAATTTATATTTAAAATCAAGTTATTCTCCTTAAATGTTTAGTGTGTAAATTATTTCATTTCAAATTCATATATTCCAAACGACCTAAAGGAAGAGAAAAGAGTCATTTACAAACATCACGGCCTACAATGGTAGTTTCTAAAGCTGTACTTGAATTTGGAATTTGTAGAGAAGCAAAAAAATTGAGAATCAATTAAAAGCCTCGTTTTTTTTTTTAGTTTCTAAAGCTGTACTTGAATTTGGAATTTGTAGAGAAGCAAAAAAATTGAGAATCAATTAAAAGCCTCGTTTTTTTTTTTTTGAAACTTTTCATTTCTTATTTATGTATTTATTTATTTGTTTTTAAATATAAGATCCAACCACAAAATGAGGAGAAAAAGAATCTTGCTTGAGTTTAGAAGAGAGTAGGAAGTTTGGTACATATCACCATATACTAGATTTTTAAAGGGAAAGAAGACTTTAAAATGCTACACATTAGTCTTTAGTTAACATTTGTTTACTTCTCTAACTCCAAACAAATAGAAGTTTCAAACCATACCAATCCAATTCTTCCATTTCTTTGAACATGTGTGTGGACTAGCTATTATGTATGCTTCTTTGAAGTCTCTTTAAAGGAGGCTATAATAAGTCAACAAATAATTGGTGGCTTTTTTTTCTTTTTTTCTTTTGTTTTTTTACACAAGGACTAGGTCACATATATGATCTTCTTACCTAAAAATGAAAAATCACAACAAATAAGTGGCATTCTTTTGGCTTTTTAAACAAGGACTAGGTCATATAATCTTCTTTTCTTACCTGCAAATGAAATTAATTATGTCAAAATTGACTTTGGTTAGCGTTGAAAGTTAGTTCTTTGTAAATGTGTCTGCCAATCTTATTGGCAAGCTATAAGTTTATTTGGTTGATTTTTTGTCTTTTTTTTCGTTTTTTATATTTTCACAAAATAAAATAAAATAAATCGAAAACGTCCAAGGCGTTCATATATTTTTGTTTTTATGCAAAACAACTTTTTTTTTTTTTTTTTTTTTTTTTGTGTGTGTGTTTTAAAAAGTGAGTTGTATTTGAAAACAGATGGCCCAACTTTTTTTTTTTGTTACTATGTTTTGAAAAATTAATTGAAAATAGGATCCAAATATACTCTTAGCTCTGTTATCCTTAAAGCCTGCCTAAATGCTTCAATCCAAAGGTTGGGAAGCCATGTTAAAGCATTGCTTAAATTGTTTTTGCTTAACTTTTGAAAATATTTACTGTTCAACTATTTTACTTTGGCAATGGTTTTTGTTTGGTTAAAGTTTTAAGCTAATTTTTTTTAGCTCAAAATAAGTTATAAAATTTAATTTTTAATTTTAAGTTAGGTTTGAATTTTTTATTTTTTTTATTTTTTTGCTTAAAATTGTCAATAAATTTTACAAAACAAAACCTAAATCGTGAATACGGTGTTGATTCCTCTTTACCACATCAATCAAGTGATTGGTTGAGAAGGATTGACAATCTACTATTGGCCACATTTTATGTAGTAATTGTGAAGTACATAGGAACTAAAATCTAAAAAATGTTCTTGAACATTTAGAATAAATGTATTGACATGCATGTCAATTCTGATGACCGTGATCTATCCATCTTATCAACGTCATCCATGAATCTTTTAAATTTTCATTTTGTTCTATGAATATTTCAAGATCACAACAAATATAGCGATATGTCTTTATGAAATTACGTGTAAGAGCAATTCACAATGCATTTAACTTGACATGTTAATTTTCGGACAATTATGAGCATACTGCAATGTCATTTGTGTAGAATAGAAAAAATTATTTAGTAAATCTAACTTATAAAATAGGTAATGTGTTATTCTAATAATAGGAATGTGCATGATCACTTCATTCTTATTCTTTTATTTATACAAAATGATCATGCTTCATCTTATTACTAAGCAAGTAAACCACCAAGTCATAGATCACGCTAACCCAATAAATTCTCATACTAAACAACCTATGTTGGAAAAAGATCATATAGTCCAAGTTAATTTAATTTCTTAGGTACCTTTTTTTTCTTTTTTTTTTTAAAGAGTTTCTCATCTCAAGTGTTGTCACATTAAAACTTTCTTTCTTTTAGATTACGGCTTTGGATTCCAAAAGAAAAAAAAAAATCTTATTTTTGAGAAAGATTAATTCAACATATACTTTATGTCATG